GGAGATTCTAATTCAATAATCTAGATTGGGCCTGAATATCAATATTTCCAAAAGTTTCCACTCGCAGAACCAATGCAGATCAAGTACTTATTCCATGGCCTAGATTTTGTTAAACACTCAATGCCAAATAGCTACTTCAGAGGCATGTTCATATGACTCATCTACTCAAGAAACCACATTAGCTCCCTATTGCCTGTCACATCAGTTTAAATTCCTCAAATTTAAATTTGTTGCAAATCATCATAATCTAGACCCAATCCATGTCTCAAAATTCACTTCCCACTGATCCCAAATAAACACTCTTTGATTCAAGCAAATATTTTTTTCCCCTGTCTGCTATGATTCTGGTCTCGGCATTTTGTTTATACTATTCTCCTCATTGGATTGCTTGATCTCACATTTCTACTCTCCGTAGATTAAAAAAAAATCATGGACTTTAGAGTAACGATATCAAAGTACAGTTTGTACTCCTGGGCTCTGCTATTGAGAAAGAGATTTATCCACTCCAAGCCTCAGTGTTCTGATCTTTAAAATGTGGCTACTAGCAATAATTTCCCAGCATTTTGAGTGGCTGAAAGGACGTATCTCAGTACCTAGAACACAGAAATCTCTCAATAAGTTAGTTGCTTTCTCTCTCCTCCATTACCAATCCAAAAACCATTCTTCCTGCACCTACAGAGTGTGCCTTGCCATCCTTTGCAGTCTTTCCTGATTGCACCAGGTCACATTTAATTGACTCTCTTCTGATAGCTCTAAGCACTATTATCTATGCCTTCATTTATTGTCACTATAATTCTTCTCAATTCTTATATTTTATCTCCCCAAGTTATCAATTCCTTAAGAGCAAGTCCATAGTCCTATCCTCTGCTTTTATATGCCACGTTTCCCAGAGCAGTGCAGGCTGGGGAGCAGCACATCACACAGAACAAGTATTGGGTAAGGAGGAGAGCTGGCTTCTCACCCAAGCTCCATAACTTGGGCTTGCCAAGTTTCTGAACCAGCTGTTTACCTGGTCTTCTTATTCATAAAATGGAATCATGCTTATTTAACCTGTCTAACTTACACAATTGTTGTGATAGGCCATGAAATAAAGCATATGAAAAATTTAGAAGCACTTTAAAAAGAAGTAAATTTTGGCATTACCTTGCTTCTGGGATATAGCTTATGACTACTATAGGTGGGAGGCACTGTGGCATGGTCTTTATACACACCATTCCACACCAGAAAGTAAGAATGATTATGAATCCTCACCCCTCCCCCAATACTGATGAGAAAATAGCAGCTTAGAGATGTTAATAAATTGTCCAAGACCTCCATCTGATGAATAGAAGTTGATCTCAGGGCTATGGGACCTCAAAGTCCGTGTTGATAAGCTGTACAGAAAGGAAGGTTTTAGCTAAAGAAAAAATAAAATAACATGTTATAGTTGGTTAATGCTCTCACTAAGATGTATTAATCACAATTTTCTAATAGCCCTAAAAATATAAAGAAGAATAACAGATGGATAAACTGAGAGGGTGAGTGGCTTTCTATGAGTTTCTATGAGTTGAGAATGGCACAACCAGATACAAGAACCGGGATCTTCTGTCTTCTATGTAAGAGATTTTCATACAACCTACTGTTATTAAAAATGATACTGTTGCATAGACAGGCTATCACAGGCAATTCTGACATGAGGATTTTTAAATCATTGTGCTTCCTTTAAAATACTACTTATAATTGGACTGCTGCTCAGCTTCCCAGGATCAATGGGATAATCAATTAATCATCTGCTTATGGTTCTACATCCCTAGGTATAATGTCTGGCCATCTTTCTGTGGCCTGGATGCCACCTTAACACTTCAATTCAGTGGTGTATGGCTCTTGCTGGTGGAGAAACCTTCATGTGAAATCTTCAAGGCATTTGGGAAATAATTAAATAAATATGCGTCAAAGTGGAAGGGAACCAATATACATGCAATTTCTGCTTTTTTCCCTTCAACAAATTTCCCTGCAGCAAGGAGCACAAGATTGTGCTGCCAACTGGATTGGGTAAGTAGCAAAGTAACAAGAAAAATACCCTGAGAAAAGTCTTAGATTAAAATCTATACAGTGAATTTTATTCTAATTAAAATAAATTTCATACTTAGCCTAGAGCACAGGAAGCAAAACTGGAGCCCACATGTCAAAAGACGAGTTTCTTTTTAATTGTATAGAATTTTAAAATAATAGTAATAGAGCTATCAATATTTAATTTAGATATTTCAATCATGTGTGCATGTACACACATGCGCGTGCATTCATGAGCGCGCGCGCGCACACACACACACTGAGCGTTTTAGTAACTCTGGGTCCTTATTCTCTTAAGATAATAAGGTAATAATTCTAAGAGTATTTTCAGTAAGTAAATTGGACTAATATCTGCATTTTGTTATTAGTTCATCTTTCATCAAACATATCTATAAAATAAATTGGCCATGTTGAGTTTATTTCTGGGACAATCAATTGAACATGTGCTTACAGAAAGCAGTGACCTCTTTGGGCCTTCCTGGGCTTCTCTGTCTTCACTTTTAACAAGTCCTTCAATATTTCATTACCCATTTCCCTAACAAATTTCTTCTCTTTAGTGCTTACCATACTCTAACTTTCTGAATATCCTAGTTACATATTGGGTTTCACTTGTATCTTCTCCTCTTGGATGTGAGGCCGTGGGGGCAGAGGACCATTGTCTGTTTTGGTTGAACCCCTAGCACCTAGAACAGTGTCTGGCATGGAATAGGTCATACATATATATTTGCTAAATGAATGAATGGAAGAGATGCATGAGGATTCTCACAAAAGAGGAACTTAAATGGATAATCTGCAAACAATTAACCTTGGCAATCTTTCTAGCGTGAAACATTGATGTTAAAAATAATAACACCACTTATTGTGTGCTTACACATGTCAGGCAATGTTCTACGCATTTTCCACATTTTCACTCACTTAATGATCAAAACTGTGTGGATATGTGATATTAATGAAAGCATTTTACAGATAGAGGAACCAAAGCATGGGAAAGTTCAATACCTTGCTCAAGAACGGACAGCTAAAATGGGAACACTGACATTCTGAGTCCAGAACCTGAGCTTTTAGTTTCTACAGAGCCATCTGTACAACAGAGCCATCTGAAAAGGAGAAGTGTTAGATTAGAAAAGATTTGATTCTGGTCAATGTTTCCTTCCTAAATGCAGAACTGCTTCACAGGGTCACACAGCTCCTAGGACATAGTCTAGAGCTGGGGGATGGGGCACAGGTCACAGTGGTTCAACTTCTCCAAATGCTATACGTTGAACGTCTGTGTCCTCCCAAAATTCATATGTTGAAAACCTAATGCCCAAGGTGATAGTATTAGCATGTGGGACCTTTGGGAGTTGAACTGATCATGAGAGCAGAACCCTCAGGAATGAGATTGGTGCCCTTATAACAGAGATGCTAGAAAGGTTTTTCTGCTATGTGAGGACATAGCAAGAAGCTGGCAGTCTGCAATCCAGAAAAAGACCTTCACCAGAACCCAATCCGACCCTAATCTTGGACTTCCAGCCTGCAGAACTGTGAGAAATGAATTTCTCCTGTTTGTAAGCCACTCGGTCTATTTTTTTTTTTTTTTTGAGGAAGATTAGCCCTAAGCTAACATCTGTTGACAATCCTCTTCTTTTTGGCTGAGGAAGATTGGCCCTGGGCTAACATCTGTGCCCATCCTCCTCTACTTTACATGGGATACCGCCACAGCATGGCTTGATAAGTGGTGCGTAGGTCCGCGTCCGGGATCCAGGCCTGCGAACCCCAGAGTGCCAATGTGGAGCACTCCAACTTAACCACTCTGCCACAGGACCGGCTCCTCCCAATCTGTGGTGTTTTGTTGCAGCAGCCCACATTGACAAAACGACCAAAGTACGAGTTACTTTTCCGGATCACGCTTCCTAATGAATGAGAGATTCATTATTGTGTGAGTTTAATTGTATACATACTTTCTCGTTCCTTTCTTTTTTTTTTTTTTTTT